CATCAAATGCGTAGCAATAAACTAAGCTTTAAATAAATATCAACGATATATCACTTCGAAAAAAATCTTATATGAAAATATCTATTTCGTAAGATGCCCTAATTTTATAAGACAATAATATATTTATTATATACTATAATATTTTAATATTGGGTTAGTTTTCATTAACATATATAGTATTAAATTAACGAAAATTAACCTGTTAGTATATATTTATTGACGAGTTTACAGTATTATAAGCGAAATATATCATAAACTGTGAAAATAAATAATCTTTTACCTAAAATATACAAATACAAATCATTGTGATGTTTTGAAGATAAATTTATATTCAAGTTAAGTTAGATATGATTTATCACTTTTGATTTTTTATTGACTAAACAATTACTTATAAAAGAGTTATAATTAATTATTTCTATCATTCCATCAAAAAAAATTGATAAATTCATTGTATTTATCTTCTTCTTTTTTTACAACTTATAGTTATCTTCTAACATAACTAATATCAAATAAAATTTAAATAATTTTAGTTTTAAAAATTTCTTTCAATATTAACCACAGTTATAAGTATTTTAATAATAGTTTACAAGAGAAGGTATATATATATATATAACAATTTCTTTATATAGTTCTTAATATAATTTAATGCTTTTAGTGAAATACAATTTTTCTGTTCTTTTGCATTTCATGCGATATCTTTATTTTCAAAAATAAAAATCAATATTTTCAATATTATAAAGTATTTACTTTACTAATTAAAATATTGAAAAATAAATATACCATATAAAATCTATATAGCAACAATAATAAAAAAAAATGGTATAAATTTGTAAGACTTAAATGGTTCAGGACCTGAGGTAGATGGTCCCTTAGTCACCATTAGCGTATTTGTTGAAGGAACCATAGCCCTAACATAAATACAATACACAAAACATAGGACATACAATAATATGAAAAATTCTTAAACCCATATGTAAGACAAAACGTGACTATAATACAATATTAAAATATTTTAAAATTAATAAATTTAGATCACAATACTAAACTTATATATATATATATATATATATATATATATATAATCAAATTAAAATTATAACTAAAAATAAATAAAAAATCTATTTTACTCTTTGAAAAATAAGTATGTAGTTTCCAACATAAAAATTATACATTTAATAGGAAAAATAAACACTTGTTTCTCACAGACGTAGAAGTATTCAGAACTATTCTTATCATTATTATTAATTCGACTGGAATTAGTACAATATGTCATATCGTAAAGGAAAATTTTAATATTCATGTCAATAATTGTAGTTCTGTCAAACAAAATAATATTACTTTAGAGACAAACTTTACACTTTTTGTTATGTAGCCAAAGTTAGAATGAAAAGAAAAGTACTACTCACTTTTTAATTTTTTTTTCTGATTATCAATTTTATTTAAACATATAATTATATTATTTTTCACTCTTTCAATTTATTTAGTACTTTAAAAATTTATGTTCTACTACATAAACGATTTACATGTTCACACCAATAATATTTTTAAAATAAATATTGAAAATATTGTAATAAAAAGGTAAATAACAAAACCAATATAATTAAGTTAAGCAAGATCGCATATCTAACCTCGTAAAAGAAATAATATTAATATATAAAAGATTAGGATGAAACATCACATTACTATATAAATTTATAATGTTTATGTCAATAATTGTTTTTATATATACAAAGATAATACTACTAATTAAAGATAAACTTGGAGCACTTTATTATCCGTTAATAAGTGATTTTTTTTGGTGGAGATTATTATAATGAGGTTGGAAGACGACTAAAATTACGCTGCGTAACGCCAAAATCTATTAAAAGAATTGAACATGTCATTGTTGTAACCAAACTCCATGATGTTCCCAGCTATAAAGATAATTACGTAAAAACGTTGTTTAGTATTTTATGCTGTACTTTGTTGATAAACCCACATTAATATTAAATTTTGTTTCTAATAATATCTGAACACGTTTTAAGGTTGGATTCAAAATTATTCAATGTTTGATGAGTACGTAAATCATAAATGCGTCCGTGCCGAAAACAAATCATAAATGTGTCTGTACCTAAAATAAATCATAAACGTGTTACTAGTAATAGTTTCATAACGGGACAATTCTTAAATATCTAAATTACTTGGTCAGCCACTATTCCATATAGATTTAAATAAATTATTGATCCCTCCAAAATTTATCCATGTCAATTTTTTATATATATAATATTTAACAAATATATTAATTTAATTTTGATAATAATTTAATTATTTATGAATTAACCCCTATTATCATATAATCATTTTAGTAAAATATTTGTACGTATATGATATTGTCAAAATTAGCATGCCAATATATACTGTAAATTAAAAATGATAATATAGTTATGTAAACTAAATTGTATATTTATATTTTAAATTTTGTAAGATTTTTTGGAAGTATTGATTTTAAAGGGATTAATTTTGAAAATGAGAATACCATACTAACTCTAAAAAAAATCTATTTAATCCTTTTTAAATTAGAGTGAACTCGTTGTTATGGAAAAGATATAAATTATAACTCAGATACATTTCATTTACGACGACTTAATAGTAAATGTAAATTATTTATTAATTTTATAGATAATTAATTTTAGATAAAATGTTATTAATATAAAAAAATTTAAATCATTTTTTTATCAACGAAAATTCATATTATATATTTATTTTTTCTTAAAAATCTGTTTCTTGACACAGTTTTAATCATAATTATCATTAAATATATAATATATGTGAAGAGGATCCAATTTCATATTTATGATGATAATATTAGTTAATTATTACGTTTGAAATGTTTTTTTTAATGCTCTAAATTATTAGAAATTTATCTTAAAAATATATATATAAATTATTTTTAATTTGTTAGTTTTATTTTTGAAAGACATATTTAATATATATATATATATATATATATATATATATATATATATATATATTAAGGATTTTGAGTGTTTTTACTGAAAATATTGATGATTAACAATTATTAATAAAAAATATAAATTGGACCAGTTAAACTCTGTAACTAATTGTTGTTGGGATTATTTTTTCATACGACGTTAATGGATGTAATTTTGTTGCTGTAATGAATGTGGGTTGATAATACTATTTATTAAAATATTCTTACTTCATTCTTTAAATTTAAGTAGTTTTGGAAGGGGGAAAGTATATAATTCTATTAATTTTTATTTCAATATAAAAGCTAAATTCACATATTTATTAAATATTGACTATAAGATAAAACAAAATAAAAATAAATGCAATACGAATAAATTTTAGAAATAAAAAACATATGTTTTTTTTTATATATATATTTTTTTGAGAGATTCTATATGTAGAATTGTGTTTGACACAACTTCTTATTTTGAGGGGAGGAAAATTCAAAATATGTATACTCTATCATAATGGGATGTAGGTCTTTTTCAAGAAACAAATATGTAACTACTCTTAACATGATAATGTTATTTATTATATAATAATTGATTTTGAAAACATTAATAATAGTTAGTTAGTTTTGGAGTGTAGGTGCTTAACCCACTCTAGGGTTGGTTGGCTTTAAGTACAGTATATATGTGAAGGACACATGCCTTTGTATCATACACTCATTTATACTTAGTGTTTTTTCATTTATCTTGTACTCCTTTTTAACTAAACTAATTAACTTATTTATCAAGTACTTGCGAGTTGAACGTTGATTTGTTGACAAATTTTGGGTCATGTATATATATGATACATATTTAAATGTGTTAGGGTCATTATTTATTAAGCCAAATAATAAAGTGATCTAAATAAATTAAAGTTTTGGCTAAAGGCATATGTCATGAAAATATGATTGTGTAGAGACTATAGAGTAATTTCTAATTTGATGAGGGGCCAAATTGGAAATACTAAAACTTAAGTAATTAACCTAATTTTGGTTATATAAAGGGTCATGGTCCCCTTCTGAGAGCACACAGAAAAACACAGTTACAGTCCCGTTCTTTTCTTTCTATCCCCATCAAGAGAGAAAATCAAGAGGGAAATACAGGTGCTCTTCAGGTGAAAGACCATAAGATCAAATCAAAAGTGCTTTACAAAGGATATCATCATTATGGCTAATTCAGGTACGCTTTCGCATTTAGTTTATAACATGTATACAGTATGGGATTATAGATATATGTTTGATCATTAGGATGAAGATCATATTCAATTAAAGTTTAACCTAACAATTGGTATCAGAGCAACCCATACTTGATTCATGTTTGCATTTAGAAATTAGATTTAACAAAATTGAGATTTAAGAATTCAAGTGAAAAATAATCTCCCATTTTTTAAACCCTAAAATCAAATTTGGGGTTAAATTCCCAATTTTAAAAACTACTTTCGAATTTGGGATAAATTTCCAATTTCCCAAATTGAGAGAGAGGGTTCCAATTATCTGTTCTGGGCATTATACGGAGATGGCCAATTCAGGACTTTTAATGGGGGTGGCTCGGCGACTTCGGGTTCAGAGGCACACAGTAGTCGGTGCGGTGCGACGCACGGGTTTGGGTGTGGAGAAGCGGCGCTCAATTCTAGGGTTGATTTGGGTTGCTTCAGCGGTCAATGGCGGTACGACCGTGGCAGAGTGATTATTTGGGACGCTTGGTGGTGGTTTGTGAGTGGGGAGATGATGCAGTGGTTATGAGATTTGGGTAGTGGCTAAGGGAGAGTGACGGGCTCCGTCCATGAGTGCGCGGTGAACAACTTCTGCCGGGCGTTGATTCTGACAGTGGCGGATGCAAAGCCAATAAGCTTCAATACGTGGTTCTATGGGTTCCCTGTGGCTATTCTCATGGCTAATTCAGCACCGGCGATTCGATTACGGTTGCTTCTGCGCAGACTCTGACGGATAAGGAGTACCAGCGGCTGTTGAGGACTTCAAAGTTGAAGAAAACTTGTTGAAGCAAATGAAAGATGAAGGAGTTGTGTTTAAGGAGTCACTCTTTATTTTGATTATGAAGTATCATGGGAAGGCAGGGTTGCCTGGCCAAGCAACTAGGCTTTTGTTGGACATGTGGGGTATTTATTCCTGTGACCCCACTTTTAAGTCTTACAATGTTGTGTTGGAGGTTCTGGTTGATGGTAATTATCCCAGAGTAGCACCTAATGTTTTCTATGACATGTTAAGTAGAGGTGTTTCTCCGACCGTGCATACGTTTGGTGTGGTCATGAAAGCCTTGTGTATGGTTAATGAGGTTGATTCCGCTAGCTCGCTTCTCAGGGACATGGCGAAGCATGGGTGTGTTCCAAATTCGGTCAATTCACCAGACCCTAATTCATGCTCTTTGTGAAAACAACGAGTGAGTGAAGCGATGCGGCTTTTGGAGGACATGTTTCGATGTGCTTTGTCGACTGATGTTCGGACCTTCAATGATGTCATCTATGGCCTCTGCGAGGCCAGTCGGATTCATGAGGCGGTGAAGTTGCTTGACCGAATGCTCCTTCGTGGTTTCAGCGCCGATGCTCGACTTATGGATATTTAATGCATGGGTTATGTAGAATGGGGCAAGTTGATGTAGAAAGCACGTGAAGGAACCAGAAAGTATGGTAGGGAGCGATCCCTTGGATGATGGAAAGGTGACACATGAGGGGATCACGTGGCGTGCGGAGATATGAGCAAAGGGAATAGAGAGAGAAAATAAGGAAGGGATTAGGATCTCCTGAGATTTCGACTTACACGTGTCAAGGTCGAAGTCCAATGTGAACATCCCCAATAGATCTATCTATTTTCATATCTGAAGAACACTCCTCCGCATGAAAATAAATACTGCAGAATTTTGCTAACTAGAGGAGTATATATATTTGATTTTGTTATATAAATAAAATATTATTTTTTTTGGTAGTTTAATATTTTTGTGAGCAAATTGAGTCAAGAAGTTACCAAAGTAACCTCTCTTGAATTGGGTAGTTCATGAAAAATATTGAATGTTAGTGTTTGTGTATATTCATGCGAGTATTAGTTGGCCCAAAGGAAGATTAATATTTGGCCGAATTACATATACACTTGTAATGATAAACATGTGATAATTATAAAGATTTGCTTTGTCGATGATAAATCAATCCAAAGACTGGTTTGTTGTTGGACGTGCTTTATTGTCAATGTTTGATTATTACAACAAGATACCTCTAGCAGTTAATATTACTGTCCAAAGACTTGATATTGATGGTGCATTTGGTGTCTTGAGATGGGTTAAACCATTATTTGAATATATATTTTATTTATAATTATTTATTTTATAATGTGAGCATAATTAGTTTATTTCTTTTGTTCTAATCCAGCTACAATTGCTTCAGTATCCGCCAATTTAAATTACGTTTCGATCCTCAATGGAACAAATTTTAAGGACTGGAAAGAGAACATTGATATTATTCTTGGCTGCATGGATATGGATCTTGCGTTAAGGACTGAGCAACCCCCTGTTCCTACGGATTCAAGTACCTCTGAACAGAAAAGAGATTATGAAAAGTGGGATCGCTCAAATCGCATGAGTCTAATGATCATTAAGCGCGGCATCCCGGAGGTGTTTAGGGGCACTGTTTCTGAAAACATCACAAGTGCCAAAGAGTTCCTTGCTGAAATTGAGCAGCGCTTTGCAAAAAGTGATAAGGCGGAGGCAAGCACTCTTCTTCAGAACTTGATCTCCATGAAATATCAGGGCAAAGGAAATATCAGGGAATACATTATGAGCATGTCTAATATTGTTTTTAAGCTCAAGGCACTAAAGCTTGAACTCTCAGAAGACTTGCTCATTCATTTGGTGTTGATTTCTCTTCCCGCAACGTTTAATCAATTTAAGGTATCTTATAACTGTCAAAAGGATAAATGGTCTCTTAATGAGCTCATTTCTCATTGCGTGCAAGAAGAAGAAAGGCTAAAACAAGACAAGACAGAAAGTGCTCATTTTGCAAGTACCTTTAAGACTAAAGGCAAAAGAAAGAGATCGGATGATCCCAAGAAGGAAGCTGCTAAAGGTCCAGAACAAAAGAAACAAACTCAAGAAAATAAATGTTTCTTTTGCAATAAGACTGGACACATAAAGAAGCAATGTGCTAAATATCATGCTTGGCGTGAAAAGAAAGGGTTGCCTAAACTACCGGAAGCCAACTAATTCTGAAAGATGAATATACGTTGAAAATGGCAAATTGGTGGAGATGGAGACTATTGAACATTTTAGATTATTATTGTGTACTGGTTTTTTATTTTAGATATAAAAGACATTTTTTGTTGTGCCGCCTTTTAGACGAAATTTGGTTTCAGTTTCTTATTTGGACAAATTAGGTTATTTGTGTTCATTTGGAAACAATAAGTTCAGTTTGTCTTTTAATTCAGATATTGTTATAATTGGTTCATATTTTGGCTAATGATAATCTATATTTACTTGATACTGTGGTCACCTATAATGCAACTCTTAATACAGAATCCCGTGGTTATTTTGAAAGAGCCAGGGGATATAAATTTTATGATCCCACATTAAAGACAATTTTTTGAGATGAGAACTGTTATGTTCTTTGAGGATATTGAGTTTGGGGGGAAGAATAAGATTAAGAATTTTGTATTGGAGGAAGAATCGACAATAAATCCAGAACCGATTCAAACAGTTACTTTTGATAAAGTAAGTTCGGAACCTCCATAAGACATTGATGATAAACCCCATATTCAAGATGATTTGATTGTTCGTCAAGACCAAACTCAAGATCCTCAAGAACCTGTACGTCATGAGCCGGGGATACTCCAGTTAATAAGGGAGACAAGTTTAGTCTAAATTAGTGCCCAAAGGAGAATTTGGAAATTGAGGAAATGCAACAGATTCCCCATGCATCAGCTATCGGGAGTTTGATGTATTCCCAAATGTGTATGCATCCATAGATAACATACATAGTTGGGGTTCTAGGCAGATATTTAAGCAATTCAGGAATAGACCATTGGAAAGCAGCAAAAAAGGGACATAAGATATTTAAAGAGAACAAAAGATTATATGCTCACATACAGGAGGTCAGACCAGTTGGAGATCGTTGGGTGTTCTGACTCAGATTTTGCAGGATGTCAAGAATTTGTAGCATGCTATGAGGCATCAAATCATGGAATATGACTGAGAAATTTTGTCACAGGGCTGCAAATTGTGAAAGGCATTGAAAGACCACTTAAGTTATATTGTGACAATAAATCAACTGTATTGTTAAGGAAAGAGTACAAAGTGGACAGATTTCCATAGAACACTTAAGGACAAACTCCATGATAGCATATCCTCTAACTAAAGGACTTCCGCCCAAGGTCTTTCATGAGCATGTTGCTCACATGGGTGTTTTACAGTTTGAAGAATTTGTGGTTTAGTGGGAGTTAGTCATTTTCATATATCTTATGTTCTATGTTTAATTTTATAAATGTATACATTGTTTTTTGGACATATTTGGTTATCTATAGATATGCGGTTTTCTTGTTCATTCATTACACTTTGTACATTAAGGTTATTGTATCGATCTCGATAAGTTAAAGTTTGGACCAGTTGAAAATAGACGTGTACAGATCACCTTCACGTAATTTTTCATGCTACACATTTCATGATGAATCCATGTCATTTGGTTATGTCAGGATGAGTAATCTTGTTGGTTTTAGTTGCGATGATACAATGAAAAGCTGGTTTGGTTCTATATCCTGATATGATTAATGGACAGGACTTTTGGAATATGCTAAAGGAATATAATGACAATTTTGAGCTCATAAAGTCTAACACATTTGTAAGGTTGTAAAAACATATATATTTGTGACCAGTGGGAGATTGTTGACAAATTTTGGGTCATGTATATATATGATACATATTTAAATGTGTTAGGGTCATTATTTATTAAGCCAAATAATAAAGTGATCTAAATAAATTAAAGTTTTGGCTAAAGGCATATGTCATGAAAATATGATTGTGTAGAGACCATAGAGTAATTTCTAATTTGATGAGGGGCCAAATTGGAAATACTAAAACTTAAGTAATTAACCTAATTTTGGTTATATAAAGGGTCATGGTCCCCTTCTGAGAGCACACAGAAAAACACAGTTACAGTCCCGTTCTTTTCTTTCTATCCCCATCAAGAGAGAAAATCAAGAGGGAGATACAGGTGCTCTTCAGGTGGAAGACCATAAGATCAAATCAAAAGTGCTTTACAAAGGATATCATCATTATGGCTAATTCAGGTACGCTTTCGCATTTAGTTTATAACATGTATACAGTATGGGATTATAGATATATGTTTGATCATTAGGATGAAGATCATATTCAATTAAAATTTAACCTAACATGATTCAAATCTAATATGTTTGTTTAAATAATGGTGGATCATCAATATTTTTTCACCTATAATCAAGTGTAAATTGTTGATATGCTATAGCCCCATCACCAATCATGCAATCATCTCAGTCAAAGTAACTGCAAGAGCAAGCTTATAAAAATATAATCCTCATGTAAAAAAAATAATAATTATTTATTATATTTGAATTTTCTGATAGTATTATATTAGGCATGAGTTATCTGATTCTTCACTTGTTCACGGGGGCGCACGTGCGACCGTAATTATTACACATCCACATTCACATACTCCATGCTCATCTCGTCTCCTGTAAAAGAAAAAAGTCAATATTAATTAAAATTAAAATATAGAAAAAAAAAAGATATCCAATGGGTCCCTCTCATCCCAATAACGTCATCCGTTATTTTCCCTCCCTTTCCCCAATCTCATAACGGATTTTCCCACCCTTCAAAACCGCCCTCCCCACCTTCTGCCTAAATTACTCTTTTCTCCTCCTAAAACACACACCAAAACAAATTCAAATATATTTTTTTTTCTGTTCTCACATGCAATTACATAACACAATATCAAATTCAAGAGTATTATTATATGATTAATTAACGACAGATTAGTCTCCCGAACAAATTTCCATGATAATATGTGACTCTATTAAATATTTGGGGAGATTTATGTTTATAATAGTTTAAAGTAATACTTAATGATTGATAATATTCAATATATTTAATTATCGACAATTATTTGATTTGTACTAAAAATGGAAAGATTGACAATATTCAATATTATTAGGAAGGGTGAAGTGGTAATTTAAAGTGGTGAAGTTGTTTATATATAGCTCCCGCTACGGAGATTCAATCCTAACTCCCTCTTTCGTCAAAACACGATCAAAAACAGTTTCCTTCCTCCTTCTCTCATAACCGTACCTCAATTTCTTCTCCAATGGAAGACGAAGTTAACAGAGAACTCGACCTTCTACCACCGTCCCGCTCCGATTCCTCTCTCCTCCGCCTGCGCTCGACGGTGTCCTCCTCCTCTACCACAGACTGCGGCGGCGCCCCGTCGCTGGACCTACAGCTGTCGATCAGCGTGCGACCGCCTGCGGCGGTGCTGATGTGCGACGGCGTGGAGGCGCTGAAGTGGCAGGCGGCGGAGCAAATCCGGCTGGCGGCGATGGAGAAAGCGTACGCGGAGCGTGTGCGGGAGCTGACGCGGCGGGAGATGGAGATGGCGCAGTCGGAGTTCGCACGCGCGCGGCAAATGTGGGAGCGTGCGAGGGAGGAGGTAGAGCGAGCGGAGAGAATGAAGGAACGCGCGACCAGACAGGTGGATTCCACGTGCATGGAGATCACTTGCCATTCCTGTAGGCAAAGGTTCAGACCCGCTTGATCCCACCAAACACCACTCCCTTCCATCATCGCTTTTCCCTCTGTTTCCGTTTTCTGTTTCTCTAACCAACCAACCACAATAACACTCTCCTTAATTAATTAACCGTTTTTCCCTTCATCACTTAACTAGTCATAAAACATATCCAAGCGTGTGTGTCGTGTCCAAATCTGTAATTTAAGTTCCATGTTTTTGATTTCGAAGATACATGTGTTTCGCGGTGAGCAGACAGGACAATTAATACTTACGTACGCGAAGTGAGGTCCCGTGAGAGGATGGAGATTGAAGAGTGAACACTGAATCCAGTTTCTTTAAATTTTTTCTGCAAATCTGTTTCTTTTACCTTTTTGAGTTAAAAGGATAAATCACAGTCCAGAATTGAGCGAGTGTGGTCGTAACCTCTGCGGACCTGTAGTTTTCAACTTTTCATAAACGTCTTTTATATAATTATTGCTCTTATTACATATCTCGAGGATTGCAATTACCGCAACTTCCGAATTTCTGATCATAATTGATTGCACAAAAATAATATTGTCAAAGAAGAAGGACGATCCTCCTCCTCCTAAATCATTAGATTGATGTCTATTCTATCTTATTCATCTGCTCTTTAGCACCGTACCTTACTGTTGTATTGGTATTATCCTTTTAAGAAGAATTAACAACACTTATAAGCATAGCTATATATGCTAATATCTTAGTTTGGATGTGGTTAATTAACTAAGGTGGTACTATATTGTATATTATATAAATATGTACACTGCTGAAACTGATCGCGAATAACGGAATGGTGATTAACTTGGTGAGACAAGACCCAAGTTGGGAACTTCGATGAAGATAGAACAAATGAATCGGAACAAAAAGCATGGTATAGCACCAATCACAATGACTAGATAGCTGTATCCACTTGTATTCAACTTCTTAACTTTTGCACATCACAGACCGAACACCCACTATCCCTGTCCATTTTGGATCGGATTACTGACTAAAAGCATCAATCAGAACAGTGAACAGTAGCAGTCCTCCTTTTCGAAGATGTTGCAAGACTGGAATTAGCTTGATATGTCGGCAACCCTTTTTTTTTTTCTCTGTACGAAAATAAAGGGTTTAGATTAGGGAAAGTAAGGAAAGAAACACTACAAATTTTTATCTATATGAAAGGTTAGATATATCACTGTCTACAATCCTGAAATCTGATATTCAAGTTCCAAGTTTGCAATAAGTAGTAAAGCGAGAGAGTCAATTATCGTAGTTTGCAATTGTCAAGCAACCTCTGATCTGAATTATATAACACTCAGATACGTACAGTGAAAAGGGTCAAGGGTGTGACACAATAATACAGTAACCATCCACTTTGATTCTATTATGAACTGAAAAAGCATCCAGTGGGCGCAAATCATAGACTTTGCGAAAAGTACGTTTGAGAAACGTTAGAGAAGGCATGAAGTCGCAATCCTGATAAGTCAAATTTGTATATAGTCTTCGATTTATTTCCATATGATTTTATTTTATTGAGTAATTATCTAGATATTATATGGGTTCATGAATTGCCTTACTAACCACTAGTGGTCTTTGTTACCAACTATTGCACGACAAGCTTCAAAAGTAAGTTACTGCCTCGGTGTCCTTTTTATAAAACAACAATGGTATGCACACATCATCCATATTTATATTATTTTATATCATTTTTTAAAATAATAAAAGGATAAACATACATACATTCTAATTTTTTATTAGTTATTTTTCAAACACCAGAGTGCAAAGAATGATGCGAAAAAAATTATGTAAAGAATTTATATAAATGGTGATTCTGTCACAACGTTATTAATTGTTCTGCTTCTTTCTGGATATTGGATTTAACAAAATGGCTTCTTCTTTGCTCTAGGGTGCTGAAATCATCTTGCCACTGTTTTCTATACCGTATAGAATCATTAGGACCTGGAAGTTATTATCATCAAAATCAGGTCTTTGTTTGCAGCTAGTTACGCAACAGCTTCAATTATGAGTATTATTTTTCTTTCGAAAATTAAAAATCATCAGAAAATGATGAGATATAATCAGAACGATTTCTGAAACAAAATAATTATAGTCTTCTTGTCCATGAGGAAAACTTGGGTCCTTCTAGGTTCTTTTTGAAATTTGGAAGGGGGGCAAAAACTTGAATATGAACCACAGAAAAACAATAATGGTGAATTTTTGAATCCAAACTTATAAAACATTCATGACCTTGGTCATGAATCATGATCAAACCGTACTCCGACATATGTCCAGCTGAATCACAGTTACATTGTCTTATATATTTTATTTGGTTACAATCATAGAAATGCTAGAACAATCAATCAATATCGTTCAGAAAGTCGATAGCACGATAAAGATGTAGGACATATTTTCCGATCCATCAAACTAGTCATCATGACAAAACCTTAACATTTGTCTTTTCAGGTTGTCCGCATATAATTGTCAAGCGATACTGTTTTGCTTGGATTGTGGAGAATCATATGTATATATACACGATGTTTACACATGCATGAACCATCACATACAGAGAAGATATCTCCTTTTATTATTTCATTGTTAATACCGGGACAACCAAATCTACATCGGCATTGCAGGGATATGCAGTGCACAGTACACAACACCCGTACTTATGATTAGTAAATTTCCATGGAGTAGTGATATTCATCTCCCCATTTTGGGGTAGATTGAGGTGGAAACATATACGAAAGAAGAAAAACAAATGAGTAAATGATTATAATTATTCATGTCTATGTCAATAATTTGATTTAATTATTTAGAACAACTTTAACTGCTAGGAAGTTTTGAAAAATCTAGCATCCTAGGTATTTTGTTATAGGTTATAGCAACGAAATCTGCTACAATCCAAAGTTGTCAATTAGTTTGGAGGGGAGAGGAAGCAATAATAATAATAATAATAATAATAAATGATGAATGTTCATCTTGTCATGTGAAGATTCTGGTTGAGCAAAGATGATATAAAGTTGTTCCTGACATAAAGGAGGGAAAATTTTCCAAAAATGAGGGAACCGTTTTCCATCTCTATCTAGGCAGGAAGAAGAAAAGGAAAATATGGAACGGAATAAGCAAGATTGTTGAATCAAATCATTTAACCAATGAGGTAAAAAAGGTGGCTAGTTTTTGGAAAGTATAGGAAAGTTCTGATCCTGCTAAACTAAAACGCTTGTAGAGTCACACCATGTGAGATTATTGTGGAGCACCCTTTAATTCCATTATTGGACTTTGCAAGTATCTGCTCTAGGAATGCTTAATTTCGAAAATCATGAGGAAAGAGATAGAGTGAAGTTGTTGTTACGGCCACGTACATGTTGTCGTGTATATATGGATCGATGTTACGATTGTATAATTTGTTCATTTATATTTATAATGCTACCTGGCTTTATTCCTTTCATAATATATCCTGGAGCATGGGGCATGGGGCAGAAGAAGATCAGAAACAGCTAAAACCATCACCTACACTTTGCCCTATTAATCATACTGCACTTACCCAACATTTTCATAAAAATCACTAAAGTTTTGAAACAGATAGATCAGGTACAATGAACCCTAAATATCTTACCTTACATGGGGGCGAATCTTCCCTTGGCGTCTACTAATCAATTATTATCTTCCTCTATGTAGCTCTATTCATCACTTAATCTCCTTTCGTATATATATATATATATATATATATATATATATATATATATATATATATATATATATATACACACACACTCTGTGTTAGCCCTAATTAGTTAAATCTGAGTTTTGTAATATTATCAAATATAATAATATATATATTCAAATTTAAATTTAAATTTATATATCAACTACATTATTCATACAAGTAGTGAAACAACCCTGGGGGAAAGTCATTATATATCTATCTTTATGTACTCATTCTACTTTTAAAGTGACTTAATAAGTTCATTAGTTTTTTACTTTCTTACCTATATATATTTTTTTCTATTTTTAATCTCTATAAAATTTCAAATATTACTTTTAGTTTTTATAAAATGAATCATTTCAGTCTTAATCACTCTATAAAATATTTATGAAGACTCGTATTACCATTATATTACAGACTTTAATCAAATTCATTTAAAATAGTTATTTAACCTTGAATTAATTCATAAATAATATTTAATGAGTACCACTTAAAAATAAAACAAGTGATTCTTAATTTTATTGAGATTTTTTACAATAATAAAAAAATAATTTTTACTCGTATTCAAATATTATATAAATAAATAAATTTTTATTAGTTTTACTATCTCTAACCTTTGTTTTAGAGAGGAAGGTTTTATGTAAGTTTTTTTTTTCAAATTTTAAGTTTTAACATTCTGATATATTATTTTGATAAAAAAATATTTTTTATCCTTTTTAGGTTTCATTTATTACTCCACTACATCTCTTTCCTAATACAAATCTTATTAATTATAAAACAATCTACATAAACTATTTTTTTCTAATAAAAAATCCTATTTTAATTGTAAAATTATTTTACTTTTTATACATTTTCCGTTGTAACTTTTAATTATATCATCAACCAATTATAAATTATCATGCATAGATCTCGTTTATATTGTTACACAAGTTATTTCCTCATTTAGGATTAGGTCTTATTTTGAATTTTTAATATGAAATAAGCCTTTAAATTAATACAATTAAAAAATTAACATGTAATTAAATAGTTAATATTTATCAATATTTTTTTTTAAGTTGATAAATAAAGTTACTCTTTAAAAATAAAAATTGGACTTAAAAACACCTAAAATAAAAAAAATGTATTTTTCTATTATTTATACTCTCTTAAGTGTTTTTCTTCATTTTTAAAATATTTTTATTAAAAAATATAAATCTTACTTTCTACCTATTTTCTTTTTCTCCCTCTTTTCTTGAATATATTAAAATTCTTAATCTTGTTCCAGTGTATTCTTATTTTAATATAAAGGTTCATCACAAATATATCACGTCTCTTGATAGAGTTGAAATGAAATGACACGTAACTTTGTCCTTTATATCCTTTTAACATTTTTTTAAAGTGACAAGGAGTAGTATTTATATTCACACTTAAGTTTTTAACCTCAATCCATGGCCTTAAATTCTTGTACAGAAAAGTGTGATAAAATAAAATAAATCCAATTCCACCCTTCTAAAACTAAGAATAAAAAATAATCAAACCATTTGATATAAAAGTTATTTAAATTCATTTTCTTAATATAAAATCGACTTATAAAATAGAATAACCTAAGTATATTTGGAAATAATTCCTAATTATTATAGAAGTTAACTTTTTATAATATATACATTTTCCACTTTCATCCTTATTATTTAATAATCATTTTAATAGATATAATATACATTTGTATATCATTTTATAAAATGAATTTAAGTTTAACTTGATTTTTTAAAATTGACAAAATTTTACAAATAATATAATGACCCTTGTATAAATATAGGATAAATATTATATATAAAAAAACCTAATTCATATAAAATTTGTTTCTATAGTTATAATTATGATAATATATATATATATATATATATATATATATATATATATATATATATATATTATAAAAGAATATTATTAATTATGGACGAATAATTTTTAATAGATATTATTTTGTTAAAAAATATCATATAAAATTTTTTTCTATAGTTATAATTATGATATATATATATATATATATATATATATATATTATATAAAAGAATATTATTAATTATCGATGGATAAATTTTAATAGATATTATTTTGTTAAAAAATAGATAATTATTGATAGAAAAAATTTAGTATTATGGATAAATATATCCGTTGCAAAAGTAATTTTTAAGTTAAATTTATTGACAAATTTATGTATCGATAAATTATTTTATAAAAGATGTGGTTAATTTTTCTTTTCCCTTTCATGCGCTAATTCTACCTGTAATGACCAAATGTCTTCCAATTTTGATTTTCTTCCAAATTCTGCGAAAATGATCCTAACTTCTAAAATCCATTTCCAAATTCCCCTAATATATCCTTAAATTGATCATTATATCTAATTCCAATTTTTACGAAGAAAGTCAGCAAAGGAGAGTGAAGCGTAGGAAGAATGTTGGTTTCAAAAGCTGGTACGTATTTGTTGTGTTTTTCCATTGTTTTGGTGTGAAATTGTTTGGGGCTTGGTTTAGGGTAAGCTTTATTCATTAGTAAAAAGTGCGGGAGAGGGGAGAACAACTATAGAAAAAAAAAAAAGTGTATAGATTTACTACAATAAAAATTAAAATTACCAACGGTTAAAATCTGTCGATAATAATTTTATTATTTATAGCATATTATTTTTATAGAAACCCCTTCCCTTTATATTATTATTATTTATTTCTTTATATTACATTTTTATAGCTTTGAATTATTATTCGAACCCATTATTTTAAAATTAGAGACTGATACTCCAACTACTAAACTACTAGAATTTTTTAATAACAATTTACAAATAAATTATATTTATATACAAATATACAAATATATTTATATATTTATATATTTATTTTTTAAAATTATTTAATTTAATAAATTATTATAAATTAATTATGATTAAATTAAATTATTAAATAAAAAATATTTTATTTTTTAATTAGGTGAATAATAAAATTATATTATATAATTTTACCGACGGATATATCCGTCGGTAAATAATTGTTAATTTATCGACGTAAATATTCGTTGGTAAATAATTGTTAATTTACGATGAATTTACCGATGGATATATCCGTCTGTAATTAATTGTTAATTTATCGACGAATTTACAGATGAATATAATCGTCGGTAAATTCATCTGTAAATTACCAATAGATTTATCGACGAATATATCCGTCGATAACTAATTATTATTTTACCGACGGATATATCCGTCGGTAACATCAAATTCCACAAATATTTTCGATAATGATTATTTTTCGACAGCCTACAAATTCGTCTGTAATACGCGATTTTCTTGTAGTGAGTGTCAAACAGAAAAATGGGAATAAAAGCATTACTCAAGAAAGATGTGATCCTTCTTCAAATGTTAAGACCTTGGTTGGAGGCAGTGTTGCACACACGGTTCAAGGGCTTAGTGAGTTTGGGATTTCTAGTGAAACTATTGGACTTGTGGGGATGATAACCAAAAAAGATGAGACAACAAAACTCCTAAGGAGTTAATGTAACTGTAGTAAAATCTCTTGCCAACTACTGCCAATTGAGGTGTCTGTTGTACACTCTCGTGGGTTATGTAAGGAAATTTGTATTTATAAGTCATATTGGTATGGATATATGGTGTTGTTAGGAGGAAAGTTGGATTAAGGGGTGTGTGTGGATTTTGATAATCTAAAAATTGTTAGAGTATAGGTTATTGACCCTTATTCCTTTTTTTTTTCTTTTGCTGGCAAATTGAGTTCAGCCTTAGATTAATTGGGCTTTTCCAGAGTAGTCAATATATTCACTGGTTGTTTGTTTACTAAAGGTTTCAATTTTTTGGAAACTTTGTCATATTTTGTTTCGTTAGACAACATTTATTGAGTTGATGTGATCTGAGTTATTTTGTTATACATTGTTTATAAAATGGGTAGTTTTTGGATTTTGTTTGCCTGCCAATTATTTGGTAAAATGGGTAGCTTTGGTTTCTATGAATTCCTTGGCACAAGTCATGCAACACTCATTGTTATATAATAATAGGCCAAAATGTGATTTAATAAAATATGAGGACCTATTGGTTATTATGTGAAGTCAGAATGAAATAAAGATAAAATAAAATATTAACTTACGGTAACCAACTTGATGGATGTTGGTTAATAAAAAGGATTAGGGTTTTGTCTTTGGTCATAAGGTTTTTTCACGGTAAACCATCAAGAAAGCGAAACGTGAGAAGAGAAAGAAAGGCAAAGAGATAGATTGGAAAAAGGAGATAGGAGAACGAAAAGATCAAAGAAAAGATTCTCATGGATCAATGTTAGTCTTCTTACTATGATTCATGTATTGATGTATGTAAAATTGTGAAAATCAATAATCTAAAGCTCCTGTAGAGTAGTTTTCTATAATGAATTAAGAACGTAGGAAAACTACATAATGTCTTACATGTGGTATCAGAGCCCAGTTATTAGATTTATGATTTTCCTTTTATGAAAGTTTTTCCTAAATTATGTTTTTCCCAAATTAAGATAAATCCTAAAGGTTTTTTCTAAATTATGTTTTTCCCAAATTAAGATAAACCCTAATTATGAATTTAGGGATTTCTCTATCAGATTAGTATGAACCCTAATTTATTCCCAAATTTATTTTTCTCAAAAATTAAATAAAGGAATAAACCTAATTATGCTTTCAAGTTCAAATTGAGACCAATTTTATAGCCCCTATGCGTAAATGAACCCATAATTGATTTTAATTGAAAAGACAAATGACGTGATAGGGTTAGGGTGAATCATGTATGAAATTAGTTTTATTGTATATTATAATTATGATGAGATGTTATGATGAAATGTTATAATTATGATGGAAGAATGGTAAACTGTAAAGTTGATAAACTTTGCGCGTAGAGTTATTTCTTTGTTAAGGGTACTGTAAAACTTTGTTAAGGGTACTGTAAAGTAATGTAAAGCTTTGTTAAGGGTACTGTAAAGTAATGTAAAGCTTTGTTAAGAGTAATGTAAAGCTTTGTTAAGAGTAATGTAAAGCTTTGTTAAGAGTATTGTAAAGCTTTGTTAAGAGTACTGTAAAGCTTTGTTAAGCTTTGTTAAGAGTACTGTAAAGCTTTGTTAAGGGTACTATAAAGTAATGTAAAGCTTTGTTAAGAGTACTGTAAAGTAATGTAAAGCTTTGTTAAGAGTAATGTAAAGCTTTGTTAAGAGTACTGTAAAGTTTTGTTAAGGGTACCTTAAAGTTTTGTTAAGGGTACATTAAAGTTTTGTTAAGGGTAATGTAAAGCTTTGTCAAGTGTAATGTAAAGCTTTGTCAAGTGTACTTTATTAAGGGTACTTTTTTGTTAAGGGTACTTTGTTAATGTTCTGTAAAACTTTGTTAATGTACCTATAATGTAAACATTGATAAATGAATGAATTTTGTTTTGCAAACTGAATTATATTGTTTCTGCCGCTGTGTTTAAATTACTCATAAAAGTTTTGAATGGATGACAATTTCACTTTTACGTGAAATGCAAATAAAGGTCTTGGATTGAAAATCAATCTTAGGATTAAAATTGAAATTATGAGTTTCAATTTTATTTATGACACATAATATTTTATTATGTGAATAATATACATATTTATTAAAATTAAAAAAAATGCTATGAATGTTTAATAGCAATTAAAGATGTAATTTATTTGAAATTAAGCATGATAAATTTTGTTAGTCACCAAAGTGACCAAAATTTTAAGGTTATTTTGATTTCAAATTATTAATGATTTTATTTAAATTACCCATAATATGAACGCTAAAATTATGAATAATGATTTATGGGTTAATTGAAGTTCATTATTATAACGCATTTCAGGATCACCCAAAGGTTGATTAGTTGTTATTATAATTAATGAACATGAAAGTAGATAATTTTGTGTGCGTCACTAGTTTTATTTATATACCCAAATGTGTTAGGTGATTCTAGTTGATGCATATTTTAATTATCATTAAAGTTATAAATTGATTAGCGTAATTATGTTTGTGTATTAGTGGATCTCCCAAAGGAGAACATTAGTATGCATAGAATGGTTATTTATGTTTGAATCTGTATTTATATTTAGTTTTTATGACTCAAAGCGTTAATGTTAGACATGTGTTAATTGGAGTATTTGTTTATGTATTTCTACACTCGCTTACTTCGTCTGTTCCAGTCTTTAATAGATTAAATTCCCTGACTGGAGTGAGAAAGTCTAATTTCACTTAGGTGAGTTGGATTTTAATTTGGCTTTCCAAGTTGAAAAACTGGCTGCTATCACTAATGTCAGTAGTAATGAAGAGAAAACTCATTATAGAACTTGGGAAAGATCAAATAGACTTAGCCTTATGTTTATGTGAATGAGTGTAGCAAGCAATATTAAGTCTGCTCTTCCTAAAACTGAGGATACGAAAGAGTTTATGAAATTTGTGGAAGAGCGTTCTCAAACTGCTGACAAATCCCTCGTTGGGACATTGATGAGTACTTTGACCACCATGAAGTTTGATGGTTCTCGTAGTATGCATGAACACGTAATCGAAATAACAAATATCGTAGCAAGACTCAAGTCTCTTGGAATGGCAGTGGAAGAAAATTTTCATGTGCAGTTCATTTTGAACTCGTTACCGCCTGAGTATGGTCCGTTTCAGATGAATTATAACACCATGAAAGACAAATGAAATGTGCATGAATTGCACAGTATGTTAGTTCAGGAGGAGACCAGACTCAAGAACCTAGGAAGTCACTCTATTCATTACGTGAAAAATCAAGGAGTTAAAAAGAAAGTTGTTAAGAAACATGGAAAGGGTAAAGGACCATTAAAGATTAACGAGTCCTCTACTAACATTCAGAAGAAAAATGACAAATGTCATTTCTGCAGGAAGTCTGGACATTTTCAGAAGGACTGTTTAAAGCGTAAAGCTTGGTTCGAAAAGAAAGGTGAGCATAGTGCTTACGTATGTTTTGAATCAAATTTAACTAAAGTTCCCCATAATACTTGGTGGATCGATTCTGGATGTACAACTCATGTTTTTAATGTGATGCAAGGATTCCTTTCAACCCGAACCATAAACCCAAATGAGAAGTTCGTCTTCATGGGGAATAAAGTCAAGGTTCCAGTGGAAGCTGTCGGGACTTATCGTTTAATCCTTGACACTGGATATCACTTAGACCTTATGGATACTTTTTATGTACCTAGTATCACTAGAAATTTAGTTTCTTTGTCTAAGCTTGATGTTGCTGGATACTCTTTTAAGTTTAGGAATAGTTGTTTCAGTTTATTTAAGCATACATGTATGGTTGGAACTGGTACATTTTATGATGGTTTATATAAATTGAATTTGGATAATTTATATGCTGAAACTCTCATGACCTTGCATCATAATGTTGGCACTAAACGTAGTTTGGTGGATGAAAGATCTGCTTATTTGTGGCATAAGCATTTGGGACATATTTCCAAAGAAAGAATGAAAAGATTAGTAAAGAATGAAATCCTTCCGGATTTAGATTTTACTGATCTGAATGTATGTGTGGATTGTATTAAAGGTAAACAAACAAAACACACAAAGAAAGGAGCCACAAGAAGCACTCAACTTCTTGAAATCATACACACTGATATATGTGGTCCATTTGACGTAAATTCTTTTAATAAAGAGAAGTATTTCATCACTTTCATTGACGATTTCTCGCGTTATGGATATGTCTATTTACTATATGAGAAATTTCAAGCATTAAATGCCTTAGAAAGTTATATAAACGAAGTGGAGAGGCAATTAGACAGAAAGGTGAAAATTGTCAGGTCAGATAGAGGTGGTGAGTATTATGAAAGATATGATGAAAGTGGACAACACCCTGGTCCGTTTGCTAAGTTCCTTGAGAAGCGTGGTATTTGTGCTCAATACACAATGTCAGGTACACCGCAGCAAAATGGTGTATCTGAAAGGCGTAATCGAACCTTAATGGATATGGTTAGGAGTATGTTGAGTAATTCATGTTTACCTGTATCATTGTGGATGTATGCTTTGAAAACTCGTCATGTATCTCGTTGAACAGGGTTCCTAGTAAAGCGGTTCAAAAGACTCCTTTTGAGTTATGGACAAGTAGGAAACCCAGCTTAAGACACCTACATGTTTGGGGTTGTCGAGCGTAAGTAAGAATTTATAATCCGCAAGAAAAGAAACTGGATGCAAGAACAATCAGTGGATATTTCATTGGTTATCCAGAAAAATCAAAGGGGTATATGTTTTACTGTCCTACTCATAGTACAAGAATTGTTGAAACTGGAAATGTTCGGTTCATTGAAAATGGTGAAACCAGTGGGAGTGAAGTTTCACGAAATGTGGAGATTAAGGAAGTTAGAGTACAAGTTCCAATAACTAGTATATCTTCAAGAGTTGTTGTTCCAAATGTTGTAGAATCACACGACAATCAAGAAGAACAACAAATTAATGATCCTGCGATTAACAATGATCCGATAATAGAACAACCACAGGAAATAGTATTAAGAAGATCTCACAGA